TATTATTTCAAGGTAAATCATAAGCTATTTTAAGACGTAAATTTTTACACTCCAAAGCTGTTCTAGTATAGTAGCCACCAACCACATGTAGTGATTGCGTACTTGAAATGTGGATAGTATGAATTGAGATGTGGGTAAGTGTAAAATACACACTGGATTTTTGAGACTTACTACAAAAAAAGTAAAATATTTCAATACTTTTTTATATTGATTATATGTTGAAATGATAATATTTTAGATATTATTAAATATATTATTAAATTAATTTTACCCTTTTTTTTTTTTTTTACTTTTTAAAGTGTGGCTACTGGGAAATTTTAAATTATATATGCCTTGCATTGTATTTCTGTCAGGCAGCACTGACCTAAAAGTCTCTGTTCCAGGACAGAATTAGGTAAACAGATATTCAACTAATATTTGATTGGTTGATAGATATGACTAAATCGCATCACTTTGTTACATTAAGGAGACTATATCTTTAAAAATGCACACTTATAACAAATCTAGACAGATTTACAGAATGGAGTTATTACAGAATATCATATACTGTATTCATTTTCACTCAGGTTTTGGTAATTTCCTTCTGCAAATCAGTGGCTCTAAGTACTGAGGCAAAGCTTTTCAAATGGAGCATCAGCAAAGATTTGTATAATTAAGAATAGAACAACCCTATCAACAAATGGGCAAGCGAAATGAACAGAAACTTTTCAAAAGAAGACAGAATAATGGCCAGCAAACATATAAAAAAATGCTCAACATCTCTAATCATTAGAGAAATGCAAATCAAAACCACAATGAGGTATCACCTAACCCCAGTGAGATTGGCCTCTATCAAAAAAACACAAAACAACAAATGTTGGCGAGGATGTGGAGAGACAGGAACACTTCTACACTGCTGGTGGGACTGTAAGTTAGTGCAGCCTCTGTGGAAAAGAATTTGGAGATACCTCAGAGAGCTAAAAATAGAAATACCATTCGATCCAGCAATAGCACTATTAGGCATCTACCCAAAAGAGCACAAAACATTCTACAATAAGGACATCTGCACCCGAATGTTTATGGCAGCACAATTCACTATTGCGAGAATGTGGAAACAACCCAAGTGCCCGTCAATCCATGAGTGGATTATCAAAATTTGGTATATGTTCACAATGGAATATTACTCAATCATAAGAAATGACAGTGATCTAGCACCTCTTACACTTTCCTGGATTAAACTTAAGCCCATTATCCAAAGTGGAGCACCACAAGAGCAGCAGAACGGGACCCATTTGTACTCACCATCAAATTGGTATTAACTAATCAACACATAAATGCACATATAAGAATAACATCTATTGGATGTTGGGCAGGGGGGAGGAGGGCAGGTGGAGGGGGGAGGAGGGAGGAGGGGACGGGTATTTGTATACACAAGGAGGGCAATGCGCACTACCCGAAGGATGGACATATTTGAAACACAGACTTCGGTGGGGGGGGGAACCAAGGGCAACACACGTAACCTAAACATATGTACACCCATAATTTGCTGAAATAAAAAAAAAAAAAAAAAAAAAAGAATAGGGATGACTTCTCAGGGACTAAGAAATCAGACTGGCAAAAATCCATGAATCATCAATCGTTGGTAGGCCAACTATGTTGTCAAATTTAATGGGGAAATCAGGATCACTGATGTTCTCTGTCTGGCTCCTGGATTCTCCTGCTCTTTCTAGCATGTCTAACCTGAAGGACTCCAGGAAGCAAAAGATGAGGACAGAGGGGAGACTAAAGAAAGGTGACTGGACTTTTTTAGAAGACACACTGCCTCATTCTAGGAACCATTTGGTATTCCGTAATGTTCCTTGAGCATGGAGTAACTCTGTCTGATGGCTTTCAACACTGGCAGAAGTGGAGCAAACAATGCCTTATCCATGAATGTGTTACTCTTTCAGCCAACTGGATTTCCAGCAAACAAGGTCTCACTCAAAGAACTGTCTGGATTGGTTCTACTGTACGTTTTTGGTGGGAGTGGGAAGGGGGCTTGAATTTGGTTGTCTGAATTGTTCACAATGCACTGAGATGTTTCCTCCTCCCCTTTCTCTCCTCCATCCCTTGATCCCTCTCCAATTACCATCCACACCATCACCAATGGTTAATATTTAATGCTTACTAACTATTAATGCCACGTACTTTTCTCAACACTTTACATCTGTTGACTTCTCTGAATACTTAAACCATTCTTTGAGCTAGATACAACTTCTAACCTAATTTGAAAGGTGAGGAAACTAAGGCACAAAGTAGTAAAGTAAGTTGTCTAGTCACACAGCTAATAAGTAGAGCAGCCAGAAAGAGTAACCAAGTCTGCCTGTCTTGGTGCTCAAAACCTTAGACTACAGCATCTGGAGAAGGTTCTGACTTGTTTCTACTGCAGAAGAGAACAGATCTGCTTGGCCAGGACAACCCTGCACCTGTAAATTATTCCTTAAACTGGTCTGCCACCCTGAGACATAGATTTTTCTGACCTCCAAGCATTTATGGTTTTCGAGTGTCAGAGGACTGCTAGTGGATTACGACACTTTCCTGAGCGCCTGAAGCAAGTTATTAATCACAGGGTATTGTTTGAAATGTTTTGCAACATGTGATGTTGTTCATTGTTTTGAACAAAGGTATTTATCATCTAGTAAGTATTAATAATATTTATTATGGGTTTGCAGTGTGCCTTTGGGTACTTTTTGGTTCCTGAGGACATGGAAAAATAGAAGTAGCACATATACTTTGCAATGTCTTTGCAATCTTTTGTTTTCTTTCCACTGTCTTCCTGCACACTTCTGCTCTCCAGTGAGCCCCCTAGTGTTTATTTAGCCTTGGAGATCGGCTTGGGTCCATCAAGGCCTAGGGTGGAAAGAAAATGTACACAGAGGAAAGCAAGAATGTGAGCAAATATGTAAACTGTAGATATACTACTTATTTGCTTATACGTGCTTTTTAATTTTGAGCCAGAAGTAGAGGAGGGCCGTTGGCTAAGCTCAGCTGGACTCTTTATGAGGTATGTATATTTCAAATGCCCCAACTTTTCTGTAGCAACAACTGGATTAATTGTTCTCTCTGGGCAGTTTGGAGGTGTGGAGGATAACAAAGAAAAGTTGCTTTCTCTGTCTAAAGATCTCATACCCTAATGAAAGAAGGGAGAAACACCAACTAAATGGGCACATGTCGTTCTCAGCTGAAGATGATGACATTTAGGGCAAATCAAATCCTTGTCAAGGACCATGGCATGATTAATTCATTAAATAGAATTGTGTTTACATAGTTTCCAAATTTGCCACAGGCTCACGGAATGTTAGAGTGAGATAGATTATTAGAGATTTTCTAATTCAATTTCCTCATCTTATACTGTATATAAGGAAACCAAAGCCCCCCAAAAAGTGTGTTAGAATCAAAGATGTGGTTTCCAGACTCCCACTCCTTTGGACTTTCTACTGCAAAGACTTGATTTCTTTGCTAGTTTGAAATAACTGGTTGTTTTAGGGTTAATTTCAAGTTGTGTCCAGAGCAGAGAATATCATCAGTGTTGTGTTTCAAAAATTCATAAAATGAGAGCTATGATCAAGTGATAAAGACATTCTTAAGTTACTAAGTCATTACCTCTTACTATGTAATTGCAAACAAGATCTTCATTCTAGAATTTCTTTTTTTTTTTTTGCCTGTTAATATACACAAAAGCAAGCAGTCAAGTGATGGTCTTTTTTCTCTGACTATGGATTGATTTATCTGCCCACTGTGATGGCATGAAACATATAGTAACTATAAACTAAATAATGATAACTAGAAATACATATACACATACAAATAGGTGGCATATATATTTTGTTTAGACAGATTATAGTTAGAATATTTATCAGTACATAGTGAGTCCTGGAGACCTTCAAACATAAGCTAATAATCAGTTGGCCAAAATTTCAGATAAAGAGTTACCAAATGTCTGGTTATCAGGCAATCTGCTATTTTAGCTTCTTGTTCAGTAAAATTAAAAACAAATGCTGTGACAATGGGCATGTTCTTTATTGTGCACTGAGTGGTTACACAAGTGCATACTTGGATAAAAATTCATTGAGCTATACACTTAAGATTTGTACATTTTACCATACATAAATTATACCTCAAAATAAAACTAAAAAGTGTAATAAAAAACCAACCACGAATGACTAAACACAAACAAATTTGGACATGCAATTGATCTTTTAATCATTATAATTTCATATGTACTATATCTTAATTATTGACTGATAACCACTGGTGGCACGAAACACTTTGTTCTCTTGTGCTTAACTTTCAGTAAACTAATTTACTTAAAAGGATCCTGTGATCTTTTCATAAGGCGGGAAAGCCTTTAATTTACTCGTTTGCAAGTAAGATGGTGTAGTGCAGAATTTTGTATAGTAACACAAGAAACGGTCTCAAGGGCGGCTGGGTACATACTGAAATTTTTTTTCACTTCACTCTCTTCTGCGGCCTGGTATCTCTATGGGGTCCTTCAGGCAATGATATTCAGAAAGCAAATGAGTCCTGAATAACCTTTCCCTAAAATGCTATGATTCTAATTTCCATCCCATAGATTCTCAAAATCCATTTTTTTCCCCGGATGCCACTTGAAGGCAGTTCTGATTTAGATATCTTAGAAACGATTTGCTTTTACGTTTTCACCTTCCTGCATTATAAACCCCGTTCTCTGACGTTTATTCTACTTTCAAAGACAGTCCTACCATCGGGCTGAATTTGGTCACTGCGGTGGGTCAAATAGCCTTAGCTTGAAAAACCCAGCAAAACATCCGGACTACAACTCCCAGAATGTAGCGCTTCTCCTCTCTGCGGTCCGCCCCCTTTGGCTGCCCAATGACTGCTCTGCGAGCCTCCTCTTGGCCCCATTGGTCATCTTTCCCGTCAGTGAGCGCGGAGAGAATCAGAACACCCCGGATGGCACATTTCCCGCCACGGCAAGGCGCGGAGCGGAAAACCCAAAGAAGAAGAAGCTCTCGATTGGACATTCGCTATTCTGGCGACAGAGGACTCAGCCAATCATAATGTGTATATGCGCCCAGCGTCTCCGCCTCTTCCTCCTGGTAACCTTTGGTGGCGGGAAAAGTTCGGAAGTTTCTGCGCCGGGGCGGAGTCATCCTGGGCCCCTTCACGCTACTTTGGTACGGGCAGTTCCAAGGCAGCGGGCATGGCGGGGACTGTGGTGCTGGATGATGTGGAGCTGCGGGAGGCTCAGAGAGATTACTTGGATTTCTTGGATGACGAGGTGAGCGGCATGCCGGGACGCGGGCTGTCGTAGACTAGCTGAGGGAGGTCGCGCCGGATGCCGCTCCTCGCCCGGGCAGCGACAGGGCGCGTGAGCCAGAGGCCCTCCAGACCTCCACACTGTGGGCCGTGGCTCTACCGGCCCGACTGGAGCCTCCCACCCAACCTTGTAGCTTCTTTTGCGGTGGAGTGAGTCGCTAGTTTGTGTTCTATAGGTGAGCTTAGAGAGCGATCTGTAACTTTCTTCTAAGTACATCTATGATCCGGGCGCGCGAAAGGCGACAGGTTCCTATCAAATGCAAACAAAATGACAAAGCCCACCTTGGCCTTTCCCACGTTGTGTCTGGCTCTCTATTTTGGGGGGAGGGTGGGGGAGAGACTGCTGTAAGGCGGTAGTGACCTGCGGTCTTGTAGGGTGCTAAGATTTTAGTGACTCATTTTCTACCTGGAAGGAAAGACTTCCTATTTCGGTTGCATTCTTTTTCAATACCAAAGGAGATGCAGATTAAAAAGCGTTGTATGTAGGTTAAGGGGGTTTTGTGTGCAATCCAAGATAAAGCCGTAGACTGTTGATAAAGCATCTTGAAGGGTTGATGTTGTAAACAAATAGCTAAAGCTCCCTACTCCTTTAGGTTCAGATATAGTAACTCTTTCTCTATTATTGGGAAAAAATATTTTAATTCCATACATAATTTTAAAATGAAAGCCGTTTAATGTGAATTTTAAAAGTCTGTTTAATTTACACTTTTTATTGTATATATTTAAGGTGGGAAACATGATGTTTTGATACATACAGTGAAATGATTACTACCGTCAAGCAAATTAACATCTATTGGCATTGTTACTTTTGTCATTAAATTTACATTTTAACAAGGTTTTTACTTGTCCTTTTAGGCTTCTTATGAGCCTATTTTAATTCCCCATTAAAGGATGAGAAATGACTATCCAGAAAAGCTGTTGATCATGATGGGAGTAATAGCATGGATTTGGAGGAATTTATTATAATTTTTGCAGTCTCCCTGGAGGGTGTATTTGGAATCTGGGGATAGTGAATAAAAGGGAGAAATTGGTAAACACATACTTGGGATTCAGCTATATATATCAGAGAGATTGACTCTCATTTATTTTGCTGTGAGAACTGCTTCTTTTTTGAAACATTTTATATTTGAATTTGTGGCTCTTGTGATATGTGGTGGCTGTTTTGCAGGAAGACCAGGGAATTTATCAGAGCAAAGTTCGGGAGCTGATCAGTGACAACCAATACCGGCTGATTGTCAATGTGAATGACCTGCGCAGGAAAAATGAGAAGAGGGCTAACCGGTGAGTGGCAGGGGTTTCCAGGGGGATATCCCGGCTCTGAGTGAGAATAGCTCCCCTCCCTCTTGCCTGGACTGGAACAGGCTTCCCAGGAGAGGACCTAAGTGAAAAAGGGGTGACCCAGAAGCCCTCATGGCTCATCTACACCAAATTTTTTCCTTCCAAAAGTAGGTGGTGAGCATTTTCTTCTCAAGTGCCCTACTTCTAATGTTTAGCTGAATATGATTTTTATATCTTTGATAAGTTGAATTAAAATTGATCCTCAGTTCTGATGTATTTTAGTGAGTCTTGTAGGATAATGGGAGAAAGTAGGAGCTGGATTTTCTCTTGTTGCCCTTAATGATCTAGGAATGTCTGTTGTTGTGAGGCTCAGTTTTTTTTAAGTTCTGCCCTCTCTATCTAATTCTCTCTCTTGCCCTTAAACAGCCTCCTGAGCAATGCTTTTGAGGAACTGGTTGCCTTCCAGCGGGCTTTAAAGGATTTTGTGGCCTCCATTGATGCTACCTATGCCAAGCAGTATGAGGAGTTCTACATAGGACTGGAGGGCAGTTTTGGTTCCAAGCACGTCTCTCCCCGGACTCTGACCTCCTGCTTCCTTAGCTGTGTGGTCTGTGTGGAGGGCATTGTCACTAAATGTGAGTGGGTTAAAGGGGGACACTAAAATAATGGAGGTGGGAGGATTTAGGGAGACTGGGGAAGCAGGATAGGCTAAGTAGATCTGGGTAGCTTGTAGCTTCAGAGGGTGGAGCATTGAAATTATGTGGTTAAACTTGGAGGAGCTGAGCATGCACAATGATTAGGAGGACCTCGAGTGACCACTTGTGTTAGCAGATTCATTCTGCTGAGAGCTGGAGGAGTCTTGGTTCCTGGCAGTCCCCTCATTCCAACCCTAATCTCCTACTGTCTTTTAGTTGGAATCAGTGCTACTTAAAATTTTACATAAATGTGGTATTCTATATGTAAATATAAAACCAGGTAAAAGATGGGTAGTATTGAAATGGCTTAACCTAGTTGGAAGAACACAGTATTTGGAATCGTCACAGACTTGCAATTAGGTCCCACCTCTATCACTGTTTAGTTGGATGACTTTTTATGCACACTTTCCATTCCTAGGCTCTCTAGTTCGTCCCAAAGTCGTCCGCAGTGTCCACTACTGTCCTGCTACCAAGAAGACCATAGAGCGACGTTATTCTGATCTCACCACCTTGGTGGCCTTTCCATCCAGCTCTGTCTATCCCACCAAGGTGAGAGGCATGAGTTGATTGGGCCTCCTTGGGGCTCGAAGTCAAAGATACATATTTTAATGCAAGTAATAGTGTAATATCTGGAAGTCTGTCTTCTAGAAGTAGAGTGAAAGGAAAGGATTAATCCCAAGGAAAGACTGATTGTTGGCCAGAGTTTAATAAGGAAAGTCCACAATTCTTATTCATTTATTCATTCGTTTATTTATTTATTTATTTATTTTTAGAGACAGGGTCTTACTATATTATTTTTAGGGACAGGGTCTTGCTATGTTGCCCAGGCTGGAGTACAGTGGCTACTCACAGGTGTCATCATGGCATACTATAGCCTTCAACTCCTGGGCTCAAGCAATCCTCTTCTTTTTTCTTTTTTTTCTTTTTTTTGAGACAGAGTCTCGCTTTGTTGCCCGGGCTAGAGTGAGTGCCGTGGTGTCAGCCTAGCTCACAGCAACCTCAAACTCCTGGGCTCAAGCAATCCTTCTGCCTCAGCCTCCTGAGTAGCTGGGACTACAGGCATGCGCCACCATGCCCGGCTAATTTTTATATACATATATATATATATATATATTTTGTTTTAGTTGTCCAGCTAATTTCTTTCTATTTTTTTAGTAGAGACGGAATCTCACTCTTGCTCAGGCTGGTCTCGAACTCCTGAGCTCAAATGATCTGCCTGCCTCAGCCTCCCAGAGTGCTAGGATTATAGGCGTGAGCCACCGCACCCGGCTCAAGCAATCCTCTTGTCTCAGCCTCCTGAGTAACTGGGACTACAGGCTCATGCCACCATGCCCAGCTTCACAATTCTTACTTTTTCAAAAAAGGATAAATATTCACTCCAGAAAATTTAGAAAATTATGAATGGTCAAAAGAGGAAAAAGTCATCTAACCTCACATAGATCTTTTAGCAAAGTCATAATCACGTGTAATTTATCGTCTGCTTTTTAAAAGTAAAGTACTTGTGCTATAACATTACTGTGTAATCTTTGTAGATATTTCACTGTGGATTTGGGAGAAAGGCAGCATAGGAAAGGGCTTTGTTTATTCTTAGTGTTCAGATTGATCTGGATTGAGGACAGTGCAAAGCTTTTCTTACTTAATGAGACACAAGATCATTAATATTGATTACTTGATGTCTGAACTCATTCTATCAAAGAATTCTCCTCTTGCCCCATCAAATTTTAATCGAGAGCTACTGTATCCAAAGCGTTGGTAGGCACTGTGGAGGACAAAGATATAAATGAGACCCAGTCCTTGTCATCAGTCTTTAAATTGGTGGAGAAATCAAACATATAAACATACCAAAACAAGAATGAGTATCTTAGAATTATAACTGAAACATACTTTAGAATTATTTAGTTTACCTCCAGATGAAATGCTGAGATTCACAGAAGTTAACTGAATTGCTTAGGGTCCCAGTTAGTGATGGCCTTACGGACTAGGACCCACGTCTCTTTAGTTTACTCAGGAGGCTGAGGCTTTCTAAGTCATCTTGTTTTCTTCTTTATTGAGGTTACTATTTTCTAGAATTTATTCTTTAGGCAGTACTCAGGGAGTACTCTTCTGCTGATTACTGTGGCCCAGCTCCTTTGCTTCAGAAGTGAGATACGTTGGTCCAGGTCTTCTGGGTATTGTCTAGTGTGGTGGGCTTTGGGGTTACTCGTGTGTCAAGTCTGGCTCTGCTACCTGCTGTGACCTTGGGGAACTTATTTAATTCCTCCCAGTCTCAGTTTCCTTGTCCATATAGTGTGAAAAATACCTGCTTTACAAAGTTGTGATAATTACGAGATAATTCATGAAATAATAGCACAGTGCCTGGCACATAGCAAGTACTCAGTAAGTGATAGCTGTTGTGTTTTTAGAAAATTCAAATATCAAGGAAGTAAAAACTTTAAAAATGTTTTTATTGAAGTTTAATATACATACAGGAAAGCTCACATAAGTGAGCTTGATAAATTACTGAAAGCTGCATATACCTGTATAACCAGCATTTAAACCAGGAAACAAAACCTTACTAGCACTCAGAATTCCCTCTTGGGGGCCCATGTTACTCAAGGGTAACCACTCTCATGATGTCTAACAGCATAGATAACTTTTGCATGATTTTCTATTTTATTTAAATACTCTTTTGTTTTGGGCTTCTTTTGCTCAACATTGTGTTTATAAAATCCATCCATGTTGTTTATAGGTGTGCTTCATACATTTTTATTGCTGTGTAGTATTATATAAATATACCACATTTATTTAACCATTATACTGTTGATGGCATTTGGATACTTTCTAATTTTTGACTATTAGGAATAGTTCTGCAATGAGCATTATAGTGCATGGCTTTTGGTGAACATTTCTGTTGGGTATTATGTAGCAGTGAAAAAGCTGCTTCAGAATGTAAGCACGTATTCAGCTTTAGTACGGAAATTAAGAATCTTAATTTAGATGCTGATATGGCCATGGTCCCTTCAGACTATGGGTTGCCTCTTCCATTAGATGGTTTGTTACTAGAACAGAGATAGGGATGGAAAAAGATGGAGAAGTTACTTAGGTTTTTTTTTTTTTTGACTTCTGGGTACTAAAATTCCATGAAGTCATCTTATTTGTTTCCCAGAACAGATGAGTATAGCATTTTTAAGACAGGACTGAGATAACTCTACTTTTCTCTGTGCCTTTTTCCAGGATGAGGAGAACAATCCCCTTGAGACAGAATATGGCCTCTCTGTCTATAAGGATCACCAGACTGTCACCATCCAGGAGATGCCGGAGAAGGCCCCAGCCGGCCAGCTTCCCCGCTCTGTGGACGTCATTCTGGATGATGACTTGGTAGATAAAGCAAAGCCTGGTGACCGAGTCCAGGTGGTGGGAACCTACCGTTGTCTTCCTGGAAAAAAGGGAGGCTATACCTCAGGGACCTTCAGGTAAAGGGTCTGCTGTAAAGTGTTTGGAATGCTGTTGGCAGCTTCCATTTCCAGTAGTATCCTTTCTCCAGTTTGCCATATCCCACAGATAGGTGGGCTATTCTACCTGCATGGGAGATGGGATAGCCTCTGATACATCTTTTCTATCAGTGAAGCTGGTGATACTTAACATCTTAAGCCAAAAGTGGGAGTTATTGGTGATGTGATTACAGCCTCATGGCTTATCTGGGAATTTCTCACTTATTCCTACCTCCTTCCCATACACACTTCTGTCTTTAGCTCTGTGGATCAGCAGGAGCTAAATAAATTCCAGAGATGGGGCATGATCAGTATATTTGAGTCATGGACAGAGACAATCATCTGTTTAATTAAGAACAGCTATACACTCCCCCCACCTCCAGCCCCTGCAAACTCCCCCCGCCACCACCACCAAAAAAATACTCTAGTTTGCTGGTCTAGTTTAGTAGCCTACAAAGGCTTACTCCTGCTGGAGGTGCTAGCTACTGATGTTAGGAATTGAATATAACAGACTTCCTCTTACTCTCTTTGTCCCAGGACTGTCCTGATCGCCTGCAATGTGAAGCAAATGAGCAAGGATGTGCAGCCTTCGTTCTCTGCTGAAGATATAGCCAAGATCAAGAAGTTTAGTAAAACCCGTTCCAAGGTCTGGGAATCCTTTAGAGCTACGAGTATGGAAATGGATTTGTAAGGGTTGTGTTTTGGGGAGGCCAAGATAGGAGTTGAGCCAAGGAGTTAGTTGGAGGTTGCAGTGAGCTATGATTGCACCACTGCACTCCAGCTTGGGCAACAGAGTGAGACTTTGTCTCAAAAAAAAAAAAAAAAAGTTGTGTTTTGGTGCATGGTTGTCTTTGTACTGGATCAGGAGGAATGGTTCAGGGTTTTTTTCTCTGAAGTATTTAGTATTAGCTTCTTCTGGTTTTTGTCCCAATCAGCAAGTGAAAGGGTGTTTTTGGTGTTCTTAATTCTTTTGTACTACCTGCTGGGCTGCTAAGTGAGCCTAATACGAATACTAGGAGTTAAGTTATCAGTGTACCAATAAGTCTGTTTATTACTGAAGACATTAGTGATACATTATTAAATTTAAAATGTTATATTTTGTTTTATTTCTCCAACTAGTTTTTCCTATCTTTTTAAAGACAGGATGTCCACATTTAGAATTGAACTACATGTATGAATGTGTGATAAAGGTTACTGCTGAAGCACAATACACATTTTTATTAAATCTAAAATATTGAAGCTGGGAACAATTTTTTCTTAAAGATTAAACCTCTAAACAAGTTTTGGAATCCAGACTGCCTCTGTGTGTGCTTGATAATGGTCTAATAATGTGATTTGTCTATTTCAAGCATTTTGTGTCGGCCAAAATATAAAACGGAGCTCTGCAAAACCCCATTGAGTCTCACTCAGCTTTTCACTCTATTGGTTGTTTCTCCTTTAGGATATCTTTGACCAGCTGGCCAGGTCATTGGCCCCTAGTATCCATGGACACGACTATGTCAAGAAGGCAATCCTCTGCTTGCTCTTGGGAGGGGTGGAACGAGACCTAGAAAATGGCAGTCACATTCGTGGGGACATCAATATTCTTCTAATAGGTATTGTATTGGGGATTTGCTTTAGACTCTTGTTCTTACCTTGTGGAGTGTGATTGTGGAAACACAAATAGTAAGAATGTGTGTTCTGTACCTGGCAGTATTTCAGGGCAAGAGGCTAAAATAAATCTTTTTTTAAAAAATGATTTCTGGAATTCCTGACTTATAATAGCTAAAATATATTTTTCCATGAATGGTGAAGGGAAAAGTGAAGGAAATAATATTAATAGCCAATTACTGTGTGTCTCTGTTTGTGTCGAGAGCTGTGCTAGAAAAGTAGGACTTGCTGGGGGGAGTGGGGAGTGGGGAGTTTCTTAGAGAATCATCACCACCCCATCCTACAGGAGACCCATCAGTTGCCAAGTCTCAGCTTCTGCGGTACGTGCTTTGCACTGCACCCCGCGCTATCCCCACCACTGGCCGGGGCTCCTCTGGAGTGGGTCTGACGGCCGCTGTCACCACAGACCAGGAAACAGGTACAGGTGTAAGGGTCCTTGGCAAAGGCCCAACAGTGAGGTAGAACATAGATTCTCTGAGCTTGCTCTGGGCATGGCTTGTGTTCTGAAGACAGTTAAGAAGTTAGTTGGGGCCAGATTGTAGAGGACTGAGTATTTGGCAATGGTGGGTGAATTATTTAAGTCTTTGGGTGGCTTTCTGTTTACAAGAATGTTTCCCGGGTGATTGGAAAGAGTTTCAAAGGAGAAAGCTTAGCACATTGGAAGGAACATAAAAATGAAGATTATACTGTTTTATGAACTACAGAAAGGGATTTGAAGACCCGTGAAAAGAGAACAGGTGTGGTTGGGCTATCACATGAGGATAAGGGTGAAGAGAGAACGTATAAAGGAAGTTTATGAGAAGCTAGCTGCGTAGGGGTCAAAGTGGGACAGAGATATTCAGATTTGAGCTGAAAAGGTGACTCACCGGGGTTTCTTCTAAGTTTCTTGGAGATGAAACCTCTTTACTGCATTCTTGTGTGCTACGGTGAGAAGTTCTGAGGAAGGAGATTGAAATTCCTCCCTTATGTCCTCTATAACCTGGACTGGAGCATGTGTTTTTACCTCCTCCCTTCCCAGGGGAGCGCCGTCTGGAAGCTGGGGCCATGGTCCTGGCTGACCGAGGTGTGGTTTGCATTGATGAGTTTGACAAGATGTCTGACATGGATCGCACAGCCATCCATGAAGTGATGGAGCAGGGTCGAGTGACCATTGCCAAGGCTGGCATCCACGCTCGGCTGAATGCCCGCTGCAGTGTTTTGGCAGCTGCCAACCCCGTCTACGGCAGGGTAAGTGGAATCGGGTCCTTAACTGTTGTCTTGATTTTCATTCAGTTTTGCTAAGTAACTGGGCTGAGAAGTTTATTCTAGGTGCCCCAGGGGAGTAACAGGCCAGAGACTAAAAAGTGAGGTCGTCATCTTGTTACTGTCCTTAGTTTAGAGTAGTGGTTCCTCACCCAATTCCTGTACAACAGAGTCCCCTGGAAAGTTGTTTATTTAAAAATAACTTTTTAACAATACAAAGGAGAAAACAAAAATGACAGTAGTACAATGCAGGTCACCTGTATTGTCATTAAATAAAAGTACTACATGCACATGGCAGGAGAATTTCTAAACAGAACAGAGAGATGTAGTATGAAATTTCCTTCTTGTCTTTTTTCAAAGAGATACCAACTTTGGAGTGTTTCAGGAAACAGAAATTGAAGCATGTACCAGCAAATACACTACCTCCTTGTTAAGAATTATCTCTTTATCTTTGTTTTTAGCATGACTCTGATGTGCTTAGGTGTAACCTTTTATATTTATCTTGCTTGGGGTTCGCTGAGTTTTGCCGCCGCCACCCCTCCCTCCCCAGCCCCCTGCCTTTTAAAACAGCTTTCTAGTATTCCATTGTACAGATTTATAGTAATTTATTTAACTAATTTCCATCTGATAGGCATTTAGTGGTTTCCCTTTTTCCTTTCTACTATGAATGAAGCTGCAGTGAACATCCCTTTATGTGTATTTTGTTACGTCTATATTATAAATACCTAGCAATGGAATTACTGGATTAAGAGTTGTATGCATTTTTATTTTGTTAGAGATTGCAAAATTGCTCTCTAAAGATTGTATCATATTAATACTTCCGATAACTAATGCTTATAAATGCTTTATAGTTAGGAACGCTTTTCATCCTCTCCGTAACTACCTCACAGTGGGAAATAGGTAATTATCTTCATTTTACAGGTGAGAAAATAGAGGCACAAAGTTTATATAACTTGCTGAAGAGCCACAATCTAGAAGATGGCAGAGCCAGGATTTGAACCCAGAGCTCACGCTGTGCTCTGGCAGTTTATAATCACACAGTGTATGGGAACATTTGTTTTGGTGGTATTTTTTTAAACATACAGATGCATGGTCCCCAGTCCAGACTTTCTGAATCCAAACCTCTGACTTGGCACGCTTGGTAGCTATGGGTTAGAAAGGCTCCACAGGTTGGTTTAGTTGTGTAGCCTAGGTTGAAAACCATAGGATTTTCTTATTTTTTTTTTTTTTGGTAAATCCAGTTGATGGTTTTAAAATTATTAATAATGATACTGTGTATTACATCAAAGAATGACTGGGAAATTTAAGAAAATGGCAGGATCTGAAATCATTATTACCTACAAGGTTGTCATGCTCTCTGACTGTGAAGTGTATGTGGGTGGGTAGGCATCAGCCCAGTAGGCCCAGCACTGGAAGTATAAGAGTATCAGGGTACCTGGATCCCAAGGAAAGAACTCCTTTGATTCCTAAGACATTACGATTTATAGATCATTGAGCATTTTGGTTGAAATTTTACTCATTACCTTCTGAGTAAGGGACTCCAAAGTTCATAGTTCTTCTGGTCTAACCAGCTTTCCTTGTCTTTATGACAGGTAGGGGAGAGGGAATCATCTTTCAGAGTTGATCCTGCCTTGGTTTTGGTTTTTTTTTTTTTTTTTTTTTTTTTTTGAGACAGAGTCTCACTGTGTTGCCCCGGCTAGAGTGCCGTGGCGTCATCCTAGCTCACAGCAACCTCAAACTCCTGGGCTCAAGCGATCCTCCTGCCTCAGCCTCCCGAGTAGCTGGGACTACAGGCATGCGCCAGCATGCCCGGCTAATTTTTTCTATATATTTTTAGTTGTCCAATTAATTTCTTTCTATTTTTAGTAGAGACGAGGTCTCGCTCTTGCTCAGGCTGGTTTTGAACTCCTGAGCTCAAACAATCCGCCCGCCTTGGCCTCCCAGAGAGCTAGGATTACAGGCATGAGCCACTGCGCCCGGCCAAGAGAGCTGGTTTTGAGACCCACACCCACCCAGTTAGAGGTTCCTATGCTAGGAGGTGGGACTTCTGAGGTAGCTCAGGTCACCTGAGCTTCGGTTAAAGAAGGGTTGCAGGTGGAAGAGATGATTTATGTATTTGTTTTCTTTTCTTTTTTTGTTACAAACTTTCATGTTATGATTTACGTGGTTTATAGCTTTAAAATACTTTTTACTGCTGTTTCTCTGTTTTGTTCTTTAAGATCTAGCCTTCCAGTCTCACCCCAGAATCAATCCAGCCTCGTTATCCTTTCTTCCTATTGATGGTCACTTCCATTTTTCCTGTGTTGCCCAGTATGATCAGTACAAGACCCCAATGGAGAACATTGGGCTGCAGGACTCGCTGTTGTCCCGATTCGACTTGCTTTTCATCATGCTGGATCAGATGGATCCTGAGCAGGATCGGGAGATCTCGGACCATGTCCTTAGGATGCACCGTTACAGAGCTCCCGGGGAGCAGGATGGCGACGGTGAGGCCATAAGAAGAGTAAGAGTCACTAACGCAAGGGACCCTAAACAGATGCTGTTGTCTTAGGCCCAGCCGGGTGGTGGCAGGTGTTTCAGTGTCTGGGGGTTGATGTTGCCTAGCCACCTCCCCTGCTTGCTCACTGGAGGTTATCCTAAGGCATGTCTTTTGTCCATTTCTGGGCTGGGAATACCTTTGAGCATCTTCTGTGGGTCAGGCGTCCTTATTTGTGATTCCACGTGTTGGTTTCCTTCTGGGTCCTTTCTTTGTGAGTCTTGGTCTCTTCCTTTCTTGTGCTATAGAAGATACAATTTCCCCTGGGTTAAACTCTTTCTTACTCTCCCTTCTCCAAACGTTGGTTTATCAGCTATGCCCTTGGGTACTGTTGTGGATATCCTGGCCACAGATGATCCCAACTTTGACCAGGAGGAACAGCAAGACACCCAGATTTATGAGAAACATGACAACCTTCTGCACGGGACCAAGAAGAAAAAGTGAGCATTCCTCATGTCTCTCCCTTGAGAGAACCTGAGATTTGTGTCATAATAGAACACATGTGTATCCGAGCTTATTTAAGGCATTATGTGCCTCGGCCAAGGTCATGCCTGGAGTCATAACCATGTGGGCCAGTTTTCTTCTTTTCTAGGTCCACAGATACACCCTTTATCTGGGCCAGTTGCCTTGTAAATGTGAGTGGTTCAGCCCAGGTTCAGATCTTTTCTTAAAATAGAAGGTTTTGGCAACATGCCCAGCCAGTGGTGGGTGTGTGATGTCTTCCTTATACATGAAAGATTGCACGTGTCGTGTCGCCGTTTGTGGTGAAGGGTGAGTAGATAGCAAGCACTGGAGACTTTGCAAGTAGATTTGGGTGAAGGAGACTTATGATCAGGTGCTCAAAGCATGAAATGTAGAATCCTACACCTCTCTTTTTGGCCATGATGCAGTAAGAAGCATAGCATAATCTTCAAAGCTGTTGGTTTAAGAATGTAGAATTTGGAGTCAGAAAACTGAATTTGAGTCCATTTTAGTTTCTCTGAGCCATAGTCTTCCCACCTATATAATACAGCAAATAATACCTAAACTTCCCACTTAAACTACCTAATTCACAAATAATACCTAAAATAATTAGATAAAAATATGTGAAAGGGCTTTGCGTATGTTCCACATAAATGGGAGTTGTGATAATGGATTCTAGGCCTTGTCTCTGCTGTGCCATTTGAGCTTGACTTTTCTCAGGAGAGGCAAAGCCACTAATTCAGGCAAGTATAAAGTATGGCAGGAAGTGGAATTCACTGTGTGTGGCCCAGGGAGAAGATGGTGAGCGCAGTGTTCATGAAGAAGTACATCCACGTGGCCAAAATTATCAAGCCTGTCCTGACACAGGAATCGGCTGCCTACATTGCAGAAGAGTACTCACGCCTGCGCAGCCAGGATAGCATGAGCTCGGACACCGCCAGGGTGAGTGCCCAAGGGCAGCATTGACCTGGGGGTCCCTCAGATATATGGCTGGGGCAGGAGTCTCTGCTGTCAGGGGATTTGAAAGCATTTTAACTTAGTGATTCTTTCTTGGTCTGAAGGGCTTCCTGTTATATAATTTTAATCATTTTTTTTTTTTAACAAGGGACAATGAAATAAGGACCCCAGAGATAACATATATCTCATTAGTTCAAATAACGTTGGCCTGCGGAAGCTGTGATTCATCATATGAGTGACTTCTGAGAACTGACCTAGTCTCCACTCTTACATGCAGTGTAAAATTAATAAGAGCTCACCTCAAAGAGCTCAGATGAGGAGAGGGAAATAGAACGGCAGATAGATCTTTTTATACACATTTGTAAATACATACCCCAATGTGGTACTTAAAAAGGAATGGAATGTGGAAGGCTATCTGAGTGTAGATGAAGAAGCTATTAATTTCTCCTTTAGACTTCCCTGAAGGGGTATGATTTCAGGGAAGGGTTCCCAGAGAGTGTGATATTTGCGCTGGACTTTGACAAATGACTAGCAGTTGGGCAACCATGATGGTTATCCAGAGGAATTTCTAGTAACCTGATATAGCTGTCCTTGAATTTGTCTAAATCTTTTAGGGGCAGTTTGGTTCATATAGGATTTCACAGACCCAAGTTCAAAACCCTTATTATATGACATAGAGAGACTCTTGGGTTTGGACATGATCCCAACTCATCTGCTCCAGCCTCACACTCATTCTGTCTTCTGGAATCTTAACACTACCAGAGATAGCATGCTCAGAACATTACTGTGTTGAAGTCTTAGAATGTTCTATTTATTGAGCTTAAACCTGCTGCTTCATGACTTCTGCCCATGGGTTCTAATTTTGTTTTCTGGAGATTGTATATCAATTGCCCTCATGTTAGACAGCTCCTTAAGCAGCTCCCTTTCTTTTTAACTGTTCCTCCCTACATGTGAGCTTGTTCCACTGTGTCAGAGGCCCTCTCACTGAACCTAGAACTGAGCATAAGACACCATTTGAGTTGTGGTCTTAGTGTGGATGGGGTTTAGAAACCCCTTGATTAGGACTCTAGTTCTGCTAGCACAGGCTAGGGTTTCACCAGCTTTGTAAGTGATTCAAGAATTAGTGTGACCTTGGAAAAATTACTTGAAGCGCTTTGAATTTCCTTCATCTATAAAACTTCTCCAAGTTGTTAAGAGGGTTGAATGACAGAATGAATATATATAAAAGCAAACTTCCTGGTGCGTTGTAGGCCTGCAATAAGTGATTATTTTTCTCCCTTCACTTTTGTGCTCTTTGTAGTCTTTTATCTTTCCTGCCATGAGATGCCTTATTTTCTCCCCGTTCACTGGATCCTCCCTCCCTCAGCACTCTCACAAATATTTCCTTGATCATTTCTGTTATCTTTCTGAATTTTCTATGGTATCTATAGAGAATGCAGAGCTCTGAATTCTTTGTTCAAGCTTCCTGGAGCTTTTCTATTAGTGTTTTTATTGCCCTTGCTGTGCAGTAGGAATTATGGGCATGCCTGAAGGATTACAGATAAGTAATCCTCACGTTTTCTTCCCCAGACATCGCCAGTTACAGCCCGAACTCTGGAAACCCTCATTCGATTGGCCACGGCCCACGCGAAGGCCCGCATGAGCAAGACTGTGGACCTGCAGGACGCAGAGGAAGCCGTGGAATTGGTCCAATACGCTTACTTCAAGAAGGTGAGGATTCAGATGCCTCTGCTTGAGAGGCTCTTTTACGTAAGTCACGGCTGACGCCTGCATTTGGATTGTCAACAGAAAGCAGCATTTGTCTGCCAGAGTTCAGTCTGCCTTGCTCCTTCCTCTGGAACACACAGTGGTTCTCAACCCTGGCTGCACCCAAGAAACAGATGGGAAGCTTCAAAATATGGAAACCAGGGCTCCTAGAGATTCTGGTTTAATTGATGAGCTATACTTTTAGTCAACTGCTTCTGTCTACCCCTCCTTCCTTTACATCTTGAAAATGTTGGTGTTTCCAAAGGAGTTACCTGGATAATCTTCCTCTTCCCTCTGTACCCTTCCCCTTGGCAGTCTCTTCACGTGTCCTTTTGGCACCTCTAAAGCTCTTGTTAAAAGTTAAACTCTCAGTCTTGCCCCTCATCCTATTTCCCTATTTCTGTTTGTGACACTGCATCTCCATCATTTAGATACGAAACCTTAAAGCCTAGACTCCCTTTTTCTGGTTGCCTACCTCTTCCCTAGTCTGGTGAATTCTAGCCCTTTGGGATTCAGTTGTGGGTTTGATAAACGTTTCCTGGCCTTTTCTCTTTGCTAGGTTGGAGGGTGTCTTAAATTGTTTTCCACTTAACCATTATGGGCTGAACACTTTTTTCATTTGTTTCTTTATTCAGTAAACATTTATTGAGTACCTACTATGTGAAGGGCATTGAACATACCTCCCACATTTTCAAAAGATGAGTAGCAGCCTCTTTCCCTGCCCCTGGTGCTGGGACTTGGGGATGAGAGGCTAGGTAAGCCACTGGAAACACAGAAGTCACTCGTGCTGATGGTGCAGAAGGGACTCTTATTCAGAGTTTGTGATGCAGTCCCCAGCGTCAGTGACCTCTCCAGCACCCACCCCCCCAACCACTTGCCTTGGTCCTAGGTTCTGGAGAAGGAGAAGAAACGTAAGAAGAGAAGTGAGGATGAATCAGAGACAGAGGATGAAAAGGAGAAAAGCCAGGAGGAGCCTGAGCAGAAGGGGAAGAGGTAAGGTGGGGCGGAGTGAAATGAGATGAAAGGGCTCCGATTCGGGCTGGGGAGAGCGGTGGAGGCTGGATCCAGTGCTACTTACTGACATCAGGTTCTTCAGGGATGGGGTGCTAAGACTTGTGTTTAGTACGGCACTTTTTACTCCTTTCCTGCTAGAGAAATGCTAAATAGCCAGAGCAATAACCCACTCACTGAGGGCTTTGAATATGTATTTGAAAATTCTTGAGATAATTTTCTCTGCATGCTGTGGTTGAGTCTATAAGGGTGGAACATAGAAGCACCGCCTATTTGTGTTCCAGTCTGGAGACTCGATCTCTTTCAGGAAAAGTAGCAGTTGGTACAGGCCTACGCCTAGCGTTTCACTTCAGTTATCGATGATTCTGTTTCCTCTTCTTTGTGGTCAGAGGCACAGGATGGGCTTCCCCAAAGCCTTTCTCTCTGTTAACTGCTGTGGGTATTTCAGGAGGAAGACGCGCCAGTTGGATGCCAAAGATGGGGATTCATATGACCCCTATGACTTCAGTGACACAGAGGAGGAAATGCCTCAAGGTGAGTGAGTGTCCCCTACTGATCAAAGAGGTTGTTCCTTTGAGCCCTGAATTTTTTCAGTTGCACTGTGCACTGTTTTTTCTTATGGGGTCCTGTTTGGCTTCCTGCTTGGGGCCCAGTGTCCAAGAGGTTTGTCTCGAGAGAACCTCAGGGGAAACCCACAATTAAAAAAATAAAATCTTTGGAAAAAGCTTTGCTCAGTTGTTTACTTCCTCCTTGGTGAACTGTGCTCTTTTGACCCACCTAGTGTAAGCATCCCTGATAGCATGTCTGTTGAGGCCTCCTGCTTGACTCAAAGCCTTTGTCATCCCGTGGGGATTTCCCTTTATCCTGACTGTTCTGCCTGGCCCCGGAAGAACCCTAGGGAATAGGCTCGGTAAGGGAACGGGGGTGGAGAAGATGACTTCTGTGGTGTTTGTGGAAATGGCTTCACCTTGCTGTCTTCTCCATCTCTGTAACCATCGATCCTCTGAAGTGTATACTCCAAAGACAGCAGACTCGCAGGAGACCAAGGAGTCCCCGAAGGTGGAGTTGAGTGAATCCAGGTGAGTATGGAAGTTGCGCCTGCCCTTTTTAAAATTCCGTACATTGCATAGGCAAGGACTTGTTCTTGCGGAGAAAAAGAAACAAATGGTTGGTTATCAACAGAATTCCAAACTAGAGCCCCAAGGATTTTTAGAACATTTTATATCTGATTCTAATTTCAAACTTACTGAAAAGTTATGAGAAAAACTTGAAGAATTTCTGTATATCATTTACCCAGAATCTTCAGTTGTTTACCTTTTATCATTTGCCTTATTAATAATTCCCTCTCTGGGAATTTGAATTGTGTCCCTGAGGGGTCAGAAAGAAGAACAGCAAGGACAAAATTTATGTCTTACTGTAAGTTTGGATTCTTCTGGATAGGAAAGATATATCTTTTCTCACTCAATTTTGGACATTTGTTTTTGAAATGAAGAATTTATCTCTAAATTTTGTTTATTAGACACCAAAGAAACTCCATAGCTAAGGTTTACTTTTTCCTTTTTATACCTTCAATACATAGTAGTATGTTAATGAATAAAATTTGAAAAATATTTAGGAAAAAACATTAAATCAATTGTAACACCACTCCCCAGAGATAACCATCGAACTATATCTTAAAATGCTTCTGAATCAGCTCATACAGATCTCACTCTTTTTAGTGACTGCAGGGTTTCCATAGTGTGGTTGAATAAACAGCTATTTAGTGAGGTCTCTAATGATGGACATTTGGGTTGTTCCCTGTTTATAGTAAAACATTCTTAAACTTTTCACTGTACACTCATGCAGGTGTAGCTGTGAGTTCCTAGAAATGGACTCCCCGGGTCAAAAGGATATGTGCTTTTAAAACTTAAGTGTTGCTAAATTGTCCCCCGTAGCTGTTGACCAGTTTGCCTTTCTACGGTGCATGGGAGTGCCACCTTCCCCCACACTCAGAGGCCTCCAGTTTTAAAGTGCCGCTATTCTCACTGTGTGGGAAGCTCTGTAGTACAACAGTCTAGCTTTAAAGGGGGATGCTCAGCTGTAGAGCAGCCAGCAGAGGCAGGCATGTGTGTGTGAGAATATTTAGGGCCACCTCTACTGCATTAATACCTTGTATTCTCCCAGTATGGATCTTGCCTGAGGGCATTTGGGGTTGTTTACTCCTCCTCCACTCCTTTTTCTGTCTTGGGCAGATTGAAGGCATTCAAGGTGGCCCTCCTGGATGTGTTCCGGGAAGCTCACGCACAGTCCGTGGGCATGAATCGCCTCACAGAATCCATCAACCGGGACAAAGAAGAGCCCTTTTCTTCAGTGGAGATCCAGGCTGCTCTGATCAAGATGCAGGATGACAACCAGGTCATGGTGTCTGAGGGCATCATCTTCCTCATCTGAGGAGGCCTCCCGTCCGAACTTGGAGTCGTGCTCTGAGACTTTCTCGCCGTATTTCCCATTCTCCTCCCCCACCCTACTCTTTGCCTTCGTCCCCGGAGAACAGTGTTAATTGAACTGAAGTTGAGGGACCGTGGTGAGGAAGCTGAATCAGCACTCTGGAAGCTCTGGGAACGGGAGGTGGAAGTGGGGTAAGGAGAGAAGAAAGTGGGGAAGGACGGGACTATTGCATCTTGATCGCAGCAGCACTGGATACGCTCCCCCTTCCTACCCCCAGCAACCCAATTGTCACTGTCTGTAAATGTGACTTCAGAGTACTTTCTGTGGTACAGCTGATTTCTGTTCATCTTTTCTGTTTGTTGGCTGTTCTCCAGAGCACTTTGGTCTAGACCACGCTTTGGGGTGTTCTAACGTGCTGGGGAGAGAAGCTGAGGCCAGTCATGTCAGTCAGGAAAGCTTTCTTTGCAGTTGAGACTGTATGTCATATGTATGGTTGAGCATATGACTGTATGTCATATGTATGGACATCCAGGACATCGAATAAACTTAACCATTTTGTACACATGGCCTTAATACTATGTGCTTTTTATACACACATTGAAAAATTTTGTTTTCCGTGAGCTTGCTGCCCTGCAGTTTGCTGCTCCCGTATTTGCACCAAGCCACCACAAGGTGGCAGCAGCCTGCTGTGATCTGTCTCTGGGGGTCATGTCTTCAGTGTTTTCTTCCTCAGTAACACGAGCATTTTAGTCAAAATTGACGGTGCAAACCAAACCCTGCCGATTGCGAAGAGCTAAACGGCCACTGAAGGCCAGTGAGTCCAGGAGAAGAATTAACCCTCTCTGTCTGGCTTTTCTGAACCTGAATTTAAGCCCCCTCATAGAAAAATAACACCTGTTATGTCAGGCACCTCAAAATCCTGTGAGTTCTTGCCTGTAAAGAGATCCCATTGCAGAATACTTTTTAAATTACCTGGGTGTCCACTCTTTGGGATTTGTTAGCCTGTTTGCACAGAAGCTCGTTGAGGGGCTTGGGCAGGACTTCTCTACTACTATTGTGTGATTTGAGTAGCTTCGGAAGAACTTTTGAGGTTACTTAAATAAAAGAAAAAACAAAAAATATGTGACTTTATGATGGGCCTGGATTGGACGCTGCTTTCTGGTGGCAGATGTGGTTTTGAGGAGAAGTCCTGGTTCTCAGATGGAAGATTGTTGAGGTACTTATTTCTCCCCTTTTGCCAAGGGGTAGCCCTTTTCCCCGAAGCTCAAAAACCAGAAGATTTTCTTTGGTTTCTCATGACAAAGGGATTTTTTTTTTTTTTTTTAAAGGGACGGCAAAATTTTTGTGGAGTTCAATTTTAATTGGTGATTTTTTTTCCACACGTGAGATCCAAGTCCTATTGGAAGTGATCTAAAGAGCACGGTTTCCAAGGGGAGTACAGCGGGACTGGAAGGAGAAATTTGACATTAACTGAGCGTTGGCAATGAGTCAGAATTTGTGCTAGGTGTGTCAGTGAGTGCAAAAACGGGACTAAAGTGTAACTATATGCCAAAAAGTTTTTATATCCTGAAAAAATTTGGCACCTTATTCCTTGTAACTGTCCTGGATAAACAAAGTGGCAACATGAAAGTTTTTCAAAAAAGACAATTTGATAAGTGTTGCTGGGATTGAGCCCTCTGCCAGTTTACCAAGTAGCTTCAGGTAAGTTTTGAGCTTTGTTATTTCGGCTGTAAAATGGGGATTATTTACTGTCTTGTGAGATGCAGCTGGGACAGCAAGGTGGCAAGTTCCTGCCTGGCGGCATATAACTGCTTCATGGTAGTGGTGGTATTACTGCAGGTTCCAGGGCCCATTAAAAATGATCCATTTTTATTATAAGTGCTTAAAAACACGATCCTTCCAATAGAACCATTTAAAGGGATTTCACCCTTGTTATACTCCTGAGCTTTTTCCCCTCCTCCCCTGCCTTTCTACTCCCAGATGGTCCCTGTACCCCCATCGGTGTGGCTCTCACTTGAGCACTTCTCACGGGACGGATCCTCACCACTAGCTTGTGGCCACGGTTTCTGCAGCTTTCTCCCCAGGACAGTGTTAGCTCACAACAGCCTGTGACGGAGGGTTAGGAAAACATGGAGAAGATAAAGAGCAGAAAGGCTTGCACAAACCAAAGAATCGGCTGGTTATCTCCTTTCTCCTGAGGAAATTTCAAACTACATCCGTCCTCATGATTCTAGACTTTTTTTGAGGTGAGGTCTCCCCAGAAGGTCTGGTCAGTGGAATACGGCAGATTCGAGAGTCAGCTGTGTGCTGGCTGCTTGATCCTCAGCCCTCACCACGGCTCGTCTCCCCTCCCTCCTCAACAGCCTGGCAACACCATATCTGCTTTGCAGGTAGGGAAGTGGGTTGCACAGGAAATCCCGCCAGAGCCAAGAGCTTGGCAGAGGGAAATGAGCCCAGCGCTGGGAAGCAATGGGGTTCCTTTTCTGACACAGTGTTAGCTGAGTTAACGTGTCACTTCCTTAGAGGAAAGTGCATGGTGTCTTTATCTGGGAAAGGAGGCGGTTGACCTAGGTGATCTCTGAGGTCCCTCTGGTAATGCATAGGACTTTATTTACACCTAGAGTCAGTTCTACCACGAGACACTTCAGCCCGGGCACCAGCTCATAAAACCTGCGTTGGGCTGCGTGGAGGGGCAGGTCAGGACGGGCCTTGTATCGCCTTGTTATAAACATGCCTTTTAGGGGAAGTGGTTTCTGTGCTTCCCTGTTTTGTGTGTAATACCCCAGGCTGTTTCCCATTATCTCAAGGGATTTAATTCCTAGAAAGATTTCAGAACGAAATTTTAATTCCATTTTAATTTGCTGAAATAAAAACTTAGCTTAACTTTCTTTTTCAGTTTTGATGCCTCAGTGATGAGTCTCAGATTTTGGCTGGTCCATTACTAACCAGCATGTAATTCTAGTTCATTCTCTTCAGTCTTTCCTCAAGGGAGAGAATTGACATTCTAAATTCTTTTCCTGAATGTTTTTACTATTAAGTCCTGAGTATTTTCCCACCCTCTGGAGGATATTATCCTCTGCTGAGATTTACCATTCTGATAATAGTTCTCCCAGCAGGTACTTTTTGTAGCAAGCTAAGCTTTCCTACCTTTAAGTACCACTATTTAACCTTGCAATGGAAAGGTCGGGTCATGACGTCTTGCATATGTGTGCTGCTATTCTAGTAATTTCAGTGGATGTAGTCCTGAGTGAGAACCGTAATAAAGTCTAATAAAATCTCCACAAAGTATAAAGATTGAACTTAACTATGTATGTGGTTCTATTTTTTACAAATACTATGACTCCTAAAACATAACATGGAATATTCAGGAAGAAGATAACAAAAATGATCTTACCACCTAATATAACTACTATAACTTATTTTTGGTAAACTTTAAAACCAGTTTTGAGTGACACTTCATGCTATATCCAGTTTATCAGCAAGTTTCAGATTAGACGTTTGAAACTGAGATTAATAAACAATAGTCTAGGAATTTAGGGACTAGGAATGTTTTTGAAAAATTGAATTTGAAGTCAGATTTCTGAAAATCTGCAGAAGAAATGCAAGTGTTCACATGTTACGTTTCACCCTAGTGGATAATAAAAAGCTAAGGAAATTAGAGTTAACATAGGGATGATGTATACAGGTTCCAAACTCACAACCAAACTTTGACTCCCAGAAACAACTGTCACACACTCAGGATTGGAGCAGATGAGGAGTGGCCGGTTACCGTATGCTAAGCACCATATAAATTATCTCATTAAATCTTCCCTATAATCCTGTGACAGATGTTATTTTTTCAATTTTATAGAAGAGGAAATAGGTCTAGAGATATTGGATAATTTGCCCAGGGTCTCATAGTAGGTGGTGGGGTCTAAAGTCACACTCAAGGCTATCTTGATTTCTTACTAATAACTACTCTGTTCTAACCAGCATACTGTGCTGCTGGCTTCAAAGGACTTCGAAGCACTGGGAGTGCTCTGGGGAGCTGGAGGCGGTCACAGCTGCCTGTTGGATGGGGCGGCAGAATTCTAGTGTGATGAGAGGTCCGTGGGTACCAGTGTCCAGAGATGAAATGGAAGACCTTTCAGATTAGTGGTTGGTGATACTCTGAGCAATTTCAGGAATTTGCCCTAAGCACAAAGAAGCCTATTTGCTATTTCGTTTGTCATGTCACAAAGCCTGTGATAGTGTGGGTACTACCAGGAAATGCTGCCCTTCTGGATCCTGTTAAAATGTGTTTTTTTTTTTTGTTTTGGTTTTGTGTTTTTTGAGACAAAGTCTCACTCTGTTACCTGGGCTAGAGTTCTGTGACATCGACCTAGCTCACAGCAACCTCAAACTTCCGGGCACAAGCGATCCTCCTGCCTCAGCCTCCCGAGTAGCTGGGATTATAGGTGCTCACCACTGTGCCCGGCTAATTTTTTCTATTTTTAGTAGAGACAGTGTCTTGCTCTTGCTCAGGCTGGCCTCGAACTCCTGACCTCAAGCGATCCTCCTGCCTTGGCCTCCCAGAGTGCTAGGATTATAGGCGTTAGCCACCACGCCCGGCCTTGGATCCTGTTAAAATGTTTTAATTAAGAAAAACACAAAAGTAATTTTTTCTTATTACAAAACCAGGATATTTACATTAGTGAAACGCTAGAAAATAACCATAAGAAGTAAATAGAAAACACTTATAATCTAGCCACCCAGAGAAAAACATACCTGGGTATGTTTTTTAGATACCTGTGTATGTGCCTATATAGTTGGACATTTATCCATTTTTCATGAGTACGAACAATGCTATGATGAACAACCTTGTTGCTAAATTTGGGTGCATATACTTACTTGCTTCCTTAGGATAATTTCCTAGAAGTATAATTGATGGACCAAAAATATAAACATTATTAAAATTTTAGATATGTTTCATTAAATAACCAGTTTATGTTCCCACACTTGTGTATTAGAGATGCCCTCTGTCCTGTGTGGTTTGCCGATGCTGGGTGTATCATCCCCACTCCCAACTCCATCTTTTAAAAATTGCCACATTCAGTCCGGTTGAGATTTGAAGTTTATTTTTAAGGTCTTATATATATACTTCTCACACAATATCTTCAGCAGTACATGGAATTCAGAGTTATGAAAGCAGTTAAAATATTCTTCCTATCATTAACACAGAGAAAGTACAGAAAAGGCAACTTTTCACCACTGTATCGTCTTTGATAACTAGAGGTGGAAAGTTGGTAGTGTAAGGCATTTTAAGAGCTATCGTTGAAACCACCTGGTCTAATATGGTTTCTGTTTATCTTACTAATACAAGGACAGGTGTGAATAAGATAATGTGTGAAAGGCTAGAAAGCGTTCAGAATCAAAAAACCAAAAACTGGTTTCAGTTCTCATCATTTTCAGAAAATAGGCAGAGTTACTCAGATATCTTTTTTAAAAAAAAGTTTTTATTTTTAATTATTATGGGTACATAATCATTGTATATCTTTATAGGGGACATGTGATACAGGCATACAGTGTGAATTAACCAAATCAGGGTA